GCGGCCACAACAGGAGAGGTCTGCCATGCCATGTGGGAATATCCCTGGCCGGCCAGGATTGAACCCATGCCGCAGAGGCTGCGGACAGCTTCACAGCGCTGTGCTCAACCTGCTGCGCCACCAGGGAGGCCCTTGTTAGTACTTTTGACTCAAAACTGCAAAGTGTCTTCAAGGCAGCAGCATTCCAGAGCATCATATAAACACCTCTATTGGAATACTGTCTTGGTTAGGGAGGTGCAGAGGTGCTGTGACAAAGAGATCCAGAAATCCAATGATGTAAAGAATGCAAGGATTCTCCTCTCTCTCACCTGTGAGTCCAGAGGAGAGCAGCATCTATTCATGGGGCAGCTCAACTCTAGGTGGATTTTCAGGAATGTGGGCTCCTTACACTTTGCTTCTATCTCTTCCTCTAAGACTGAGGTTCTCAGTCTCTCCTGAGCACCAGAATTCTCTGAAAGGCTTTAAACCCAGAGTTTCTATTAGTAGGACTGAGTGGGGTCTGAGAATTTGTCTTTCTGACAAGTGTCAGGTGATGCTGATACTGCTGATCCAGGCACCCCACTTGGAGAACCATCCCCCCAGGGCCCTGCCCCAACCTGCCATTGTTGTTAAATTGTAGACATATTCATGCCCCAGATTATGGGAACAGGGAGGAGCACACAGTGTTTTAAGGTCCAGACTGGTAAGTGGTGCTGCTCATTTCCACTCAGTTTCCACTGATAAGAAGTTAGTGCTCACCTAGCTGCAAGGGAGGCTGGGAAATGTCTAACTAGTTGACCACATGCCCTGCCACATTGTGTTATTATGAGAAAAGGGGAAAGTGGATTCTGTGGGACAACCAGTACCATATACACCTGTCACACCATGATTATTTACTCACTTTCTCCCCTCAGAACCTGAGCTCTGTGAGAGCAGGTGGGACAAGTGTCATTCCTGTTTATGGCTTCAGAGTCTGTCATAGAAAACAAGATAGATGCTTAGTTCCACAGGTGCTGACCTTATCCATCGGTAGCCTGGGGGTGGGGGTGCTTGGGCAGCAGTTGTGCATACAGCCAGTATCTCAGTGGACTGTCCATCACAGTGTGTGATGAAAAATTATGAGAAGCAGGAGAGCAAGGTGGGGAGGGAGCATGGTGGGCTATGGTGAGGGACTGTAGTTGTTTTGGTGGTGGGTGTGGTGCCAATGGAGGGGAGAGAGCCTATACCTCATATACAAACAGCGATGTAAACCAAAGCTACTGCAATAAAAAAGGAGAAAGTAAGAAGCAATAGACTAAAAGAAAAAATTGGCGTATTTTGGTCAATTTTCTCCTTTCTCTTTGCTATTGGGCATTTTGAAATACCAATTTAAAACATTTTATTTATTTTTTTAAAGATTTTTTTTTTATATTCCCCATACAGTTGCATTCCCCTTATTTTGACCCCAATCCCTCTTCTCCCTGCCGCCCCCCTCCCCATAGTGTGTCTCTGGTTTATACTTGCTTGTTGATTTTGATTTTTTCTTTATTATAGTTATTCTTTTTCCTGGTCTCTTGTTTAGGTTTTCTAGATTCCTGCTATGAGTGAGACCATCCTGAGATCCTGTTCCATGTAGGACAGAAGCAACTTGAAAACAGAACGAAATGATTCTTTAAGAGAGCTTTTAGCAATGTGAAAGGAACAAGTGAATAGATGGGGAAGGAATTTCTAATAGTATTTTTCTTTTTCTTTCTGGCTTATTTTGCTGAGCATGATCCCTTCCAGCTCCATCCATGTCACTGCAAATTGCATGAGTTTATCTTTTTTGATTGCTGAGTAATATTCCATGGTGTATATGTACCACATCTTCTTGATCCAGTCATCTCTTTTTGGGCATTTGGGCTGTTTCCAAAGCTTAGCTATTGTAAATAGTGCTGCTATAAACATAGGGGTGCAGGTGCTCTTTGGAATTGATGTTTCTGTGTCCTTTGGGTAAATACCTAGGAGTGGAATTGCTGGATCCTATGGAAGCTCTATGTTTAGTAGGTCCAGAAATCTGCACACAGCTCTCCATAGTGGTTGGACCAGTTTGCACTCCCACCAACAGTGCAGGAGAGTTCCTTTTTCTCCACACCCTCGCCAACATTTGTTGTGGCTAGTTTTTTTAATATGTGCCATTCTCACTGGTGTAAGGTGGTATCTCATTGTAGTTTTGATTTGCATTTCCCTGATTACAAGTGATGTTGAACATTTTTTTCATATGCCTGTTGGCCATTTGCATTTCCTCTTTGGAGAAGTTTCTTTAATACCAAATTTAAAGATGTAAGTCCTTTAAGGTCTTATTATTGGACTTTACAAGAGAGTGCAGCGAAAAGTACTGGCATTCAAAATGTCACATTGGTAACAAAGAATATACACAATACATGATGTCTGTCTACATTACTACATATACATAAATATATATCCATATATGTACATATATACACGAAATAGCAACTGGCATGCAGATACAATTCAATGCTGTAGAAAATATTTTTTGTGTGTGGAATATCACATTTCCTTAGGGAATGTCTGAAATGGCGTATTATAATACTATGAAGAAAACAAGTTCTCTACTTATATTCTGTTTAATAAAATATAGCTATACTAGCAAATATGTTATTTAGTATGATGTTAATAAAATGTCACTTAGTAACATGTGAGTAAAATTATCCCTCGTATCAATAATTTTCAAAATTGTCCTGTTATGACAAATTATTTGATCAAATATCTGAAATTGTCCTAGAATTAAATATTTACACACAAACAGAACGTGGGGCATTTGGGACCAATCCTTGTGAGAATGCAAGCTAAGTAAACAGACTTCCTCACTGCAGGGATCCTTAGTCTCAGCTGCACTTTGTATTCTGGTCCTGGAAAGGAGCAGCAAAAGCTGCTGTCGAGTGGGTGTCTACCTCAGGGTTCTACAGACCTGAAATACCTAGCTGCTAAAGAAGCAGCAACGTCACCTCTTTGTTTTTCTGGTTCTCTCCAAGATCTCCCCATCTCATTTACTGCATTTATTGTAGGACATTCACTGGAGAAGTGAGGTGGACACCCACTCAGAGGAAGTCTGTCTTCTTTAAAGAGAGAAGATAGTGAGGGACCTCCCTGGTGGTACAGGGGTTAAAAACACAGTGCTAGCAAGCTGTCACCAGCCATTGCAACATGAGTTCGATCCCCGGCCAGGGAGATACCCACATGGTGCAGCAGACCTCTCCTGACTGCCCGCTGCTCCCCTCAGCAGTGTATTTCAGTCAGACTGCCTGTTCTGCTCCCCTCTCTGTCTCTGGTGAATCCTCTCACCCCCTGCACCTCTGACCTACACCCCTATTCTTGTATGCACAAATAAATAGATCTTTTAAAAAGAAAGAGAGAGAGAGAAAGAAAGAGAGAGAGAAAGAGAGAGAGAGAGAGAGAGAGAGAGAGAAAGAAAGAGAGAAAGAGAGAAGATAGTGAGCGAACAGTCCCCTGGGCACATCTGACTTCTGATTGGATCATCTAGATAACAAAGCTGAGGTCAAGGTACTGTAGAGAGAGATCTGTGTTGGTCTGGGCTGTTTGGCAGGAGGAGGATGGCATTTGGAGGCCAGGGAGGAGCTTAGGAGCTGTTCTGTGTGTTCCCTGCCTCCACCCCCAGAGACCACGTGTGCCAGAGGGTTCCTGAAAGTCGCCCTCCTGGTGGCCAGGCTTTAGGCTGTGCCCCTGCAGGAAGCCCTTGCCCTGCGCAGGGCAGGCCCCTCTTAGACTTGCCTGTTCATCTCCTCCCTTTGTAAGATGAAGGGGATGAGGGGACTTGTGGTGAGGGACCCGCTGTACCCTCCGCAGATTCTTCAGTTAGGACCCTCTGGGCCCCCAGAATTGGCTAAGACCAAACAACAATAGAGCTCCTGTTCCATGTAGGACAGCAGCAACTTGAAAACAGAACGAAATGGTTCTTTAAGAGCACTATTAGCAATGTGAAAGGAACAAGTGAATAGATGGGGAAGGAATTTCTAATAGCAGAGGGGTGAGAAAACAAAGGAGAGAAGGAGATTAGGATAAAATGACATAAAAGCCTGCCGAGGAGGGGCCCTGGGAAGCCTCCAGATGCAACAAATTACTCTGACAGGAAGGAATAAGGGCATTGTAAATGGAGGCATGTGGTGGTTGTAAAAATACACAACAGGCTGAGAAAAATGCTGTAAGCACAGCTTCAAACATCCTCCCAGAAGTTCAGAATTTTAAAATGACCCTTGAAAGCTGATGGTAGATCTGAGGCATCCAGGGCGGGGGTGGAGGGGGTGATGAGAAAGGAGAAAACATGGCACAAGGAGAGCATAATAGACTGCAGTGAAGGACTGTGGGTGCTCTGGTGGTGGTAAAACTATGCTGACCACACCTGAGAGGAGAAATCTTATATGTGAAAAAAATTAATACGGATTAAAGTAGTGGTACTTCAGTAGTGGAATTAGAGTTCCACTCTGGTGTGGAGGGGAAGCAAACAGGACAATCAGCCCTTTCCTGCCAGACTTTTGTTTTTGCTCCAAGATCATTGACATCTCTGTAATAGGACAGGAGATGAAATGCCCTCTGGTTGGAATCAGGTTATTTCTAATGTATGCAAGAATATTATGCATCAACATGTTAACCATAGTTTTGCCTGGGAAAAGTAGCTTTAACTGGTCTTTATTTCCCTAATTTTCCCTATTTTCTATGAGAGATATATCTTTATATAATGAAAACAAACTAAATAATGAAATCTCAGCTGTTTCACCGTCACAGAGGTCTGACTGAAGCTGGGACTCAAGTTGTGGGTAGGGGCTGCCCCAGGGCAGCCTTTGGCCTCGAGATAGTCCCATTTATCAGGTGGAGGCTTCCTGTCCTGCTTTTGCTCTCTGTCTCCCCTCTGCAGCCACAGGTGTCCCAGGACAGTCCCTGAAGGAAGAGAGGCACTGTGGGGGTTTGAGCAGCGTGGGGGGGCTTCTGCCGCCCCTTGTGACCCAGCTGTGCTGTGCTTTCAGGTGAACCTCAATCAGCATCTCATCTGACCACCGTCACCTGCTGCTGCCCTCAGCCTGTCACCTGCCCGGGCCTGTCACTGTGCCGCCTCTGCAGGTAAGGAAGCCATGAATCCTGCCCAAAAGCAGGTTCTCTCTGGAGGGCAGTGTCTTTGCCAGCTGTGGGGGCAGAGGGTGCTGGGGTGAGGCTGGGCTGCATACTCCCAGATGGTGGCTGGATCCCTCCACACCTCACTTTCTTCCTGTTGTAGTTGTCACTGTCCTCTTTCCCCCTCGCCCAACCTCTATAGCAGATGTTGCCAGTGGAGCCCATTTTATGAGTCACCCAGCACTTAGCATTTCTCCATTATGAGTGGCTGTACCCACTTTGCAGGGAGCCAGGACAGGAAACCTGAGTCATTTCCATGGGGTGCTAGACCTTAGCTAGGATGCCAAGCACGGTGCCTTACCTTAAGAAAGGAGATGTTGGGCCTCCCTGGTGGCTCAGGGGGTTGAGACGCAACCTATGAAGCTGACCGTAGCCTCTGAAGTGCGAGTTCAATCACTGGCCGAGGAGCAACCCACATGGCACAACAGACCTCTCCTGGCTCACTCACTGCTCCCCTCAGCAGTGTATTTCAGTCAGTCTGCCTGTTCTGTTCCCTGCTCTATCTCTGGTGAATCCTCTCACCCCACCCCACCCCCATGCCTTTGGCCTGTGCCCCAGCTCTTGTATGCATAAAAATAAAATAAATCTTTAAAAAAAAAAAAAAGATGTCATTCAGGCAAGCATCCTTGTTTGGCAAATCACTGTAATAAAAGGGGAGTCAAGGGCCTCCCCTGGTGGCACAGTGGTTGAGCACTGAGCTGAGAGGTGCCCACAGCCTCTGCAGCACCAATTCGATCCTGGCCGATGGGTGAGGGTCCCACATGGTGTGCATGGGTGATGGCGATGGGTGAGGGTCCCCTGCCGCGCCCGCTGCTCCTCTCAGCAATGTATTTCGTCAGTCTGCCTGTTCTGTTCCCCATTCTGGCTCTAGTGAATTCTCTCACCCTCCCGCGTTTCTGACTGTACCCAGTGCTTGTATAAATAAATAAAAAAAGAGGGGTCAACAGCATGCCCACCCTGCAGTTGAAGTGGGTTGGTCTCCTCAGGCCCCAAGGTCAGTGCTCACCAGTGGTTGCTGTCTCTCAGGCACTGTCCAGGGACACAGGCTGCAGCCAACTTCTGAACAGCTCGTGGAGATAATTCATGTTAGGGAGCATGGCTGAAAAGACCCCGTGAGATCCACTTGTCCAGACATTCTAAACACTGTCCCGAGTCAGGTCATGTCAGCAGCACTGAGGACTGAGCCAGCTTGTTCTGCCTGCCCCCACAACTCTGCATTTACTGAGCTATGCAGTCCAAGATGCAGCCCATTAGAACCTCCCCATGAAGGCTGTCTGTGTGTGAATGCGTTCCTGTGTGCCCAAGGGGCAGAACTATCTGACCATGGTGTGACCCCACTAGGCCAACGAGGGGCAACTAGCTGGGAACACATGGGGAAAGGCTGTCTTCTGCTTCCACTATGAAAAATTAGGGTCTTGGACCTGGACCTTTTAAGTCCCATTACAATATTAACAGCAATGATTCAGAGCCTTGCTGCTCAAATGTGGTCCCTGGACCAGCAACAACTGGGAGCTTGTTAGAAATGTAGAATCTTCCACCATATCCCAACCCATTCAGTCAACATCTTCAATTTACTGAGATCCTCAGGAATTCTTCTGCCCAATATGTTTTTTAATGGAGTGATTTAGAACCCCAGAGGTACATGAACGCTTGCAAGGTAATTTGGTGAACACAAAGAGATGATAAAGTAGAAACAATTTGCAGCCATGGTTCTCACATTTGGGAAGGTCTGAAATCAGCTTGGGAGGTTGTGAGGTACAGATGTCTGTCTGTGGGGTCACAGTCTGGATCTTATGGCAGGGTACACTGCCATAAGAAACTTTACCAACCACTTGGAGAGATGCATGAACACCTGAAACCACTTACGGGTCACCCATAGCATCCAGAATAGCATCCTGTGAACCGCACCAGGAGAGCCAAGGGGCTGCATTACGGGGGAAGGAGGAGCAGGCTTTTTGTCCTCTGTACGGGGAGAACTTTTCCATTCTTATTTTCTGAATCTCTACATATGGTTATGGAGGGGTTCTTTTTTTTTTTTAAGAATTATTTATTTATGCATACAAGAGCTGGGATGTAGGCCCGAGATGCGGGGGTGGCAGGGTGAGAGGATTCACCAGAGACAGAGTGGGGAGCAGAGCAGGAGAACTGACTGAAGTACACTGCTGAGGGGAGCAGCAGGCAAGACAGGAGAGGTCTGCTGCACCTTGTGGGTTAGCAACCTGGCAGGGATCGAACTCATGCTGCAGTGGCTGCTGAAAGTTTCATAGTGCTGAGACTTAACCCCTTACACCACCAGGGAGGCCCCCAGGGGCTCTTTAATGGGAATGGGAGGAGGTGGGGGAGAGAGAGGAGAGTGTGAGAGGAAGGCAGTCTCCCTTCCCTGGTGCTGGAGGCCCTGAGAAGATAGGGGACCCACCCTCACCAGCTTATTTTATCTCCTGGACACAAAAAGGAAAACATAGCTCAGCGGGAGCTTTTTCACATAGTGAGCATTCAGTCAGAGTTCTCTTTCTGTTGTTGTGGAGTGTGTTACAAATGTCCCTTCTTTGTGAACAGGGAAGAATGAGAAAAGAGCTGAGCAGGATCAGGGCATCTGGGATACAGCTGGTCCCTGGGCAGGAGTGGGAGGGCTGCCCAGGGGGATGGAATGAGGCTGTGGTTCTGCTGTGGATCTGTGCACTCCTAACCACACCTGCCCCCACTTATTCACACACTCATTCACACACTCACATCACTCCCCTTCATGCATACCCTCACTGTTCGCCCTCATACTCACACATACTTCACCTTCAAAATACATTCACCACACACACACACACACACACACACTCCCACCTTCATACGCTCAACACACACACCTTCATACATGCACTCACAACCACACACACCTGCCTTCACTTACATTCACTCACACACACTCATCTTCTCACATATTCTCACCCCACGCATACATACACATACCCTCGCACCCATGCCGACCCTCACACTCACACCTTCATACACTCACACACTCACCTTCATACATACTCACCCCACACATGATCATATACACTCACCTGCTTTCACTCACACACTCATACACACACTCACCTTCATCCAAAAGCTCACCCTCACACCCACACATACTGTCGCGCACACACCATGCTGGGCCCTCTCCTCTCCTGTGCCTCGCTGTACTTCTCTCTCTTCGCTCCTGCTGATCTTAGGCTCAGCTTCCTTGTCCTTCGCCATCTCTGTTCTCTGTCCCCTCCTCCACTTCCCCAACCTTTAAAAGCCTAAAGTCAATGATGAGAAAAGAAAAGGCTGGGTTCTAGAATGGGGAGGAAGGATCAGGATCTGAGAGCATGATTTTAGGGTCCTTTTTTACTTGCTCAGGCTGGGGAGGGCTAGAGCCGCGTTGTGTCTCCTCCCTCCTTTTACATGAACACAGGGACACAGACGCACATCCACACACGCAGGCACAGAGGGACGGCCATGCCCTGAAGGCCCACGGCACACAGGGACACGCATAGGCCTGGACATGCATGCAAGCACTTCTCTACGTAGTGGGGGTTAGGCAGCTGTCCCCCAAGCCCCAGCCTCTCTTGATTCCCCTGATCCTTCTCTTCTCGTTAACTGGAGGTTCACAGCCAAGATAGGAACAAATCCCTGTTAAACTCCGATTTAGGCAACTGACCTACATCTTAGAGGAAACTTTTTTTTTTTTAAATTGCCTATGGAATTTAGAAAACCTAAATAAGGGACCAGGTTATAATAAAGTAAAAGTCAAAATCAACAAGCAACAAGCAACTGTTAACCGGAGACACACTACTGGGGGGCCGGGGAAGGAGGGAATAGGATCAAAACAAGGTGGGTAGGAATTGTATGGGGACTATAACCAAGATGAAAATGTATACATTGTGCAAAAATGAAAAACAATGTATAAAATAAAAAAAAAAAAAGAAATACACTGCTAAGGCGACCAGTGGGTGAAAAAAAAAATAATCAAATAAAGAGGTAAAAAAAAAAATTGCCTCCGGACAGGTGAAGTCATCATTACCTCTTGTCTTGGCTGGGCAGCGTGGCCTGTGCACAATCACTGCACCACAGGAAGCCCTTGTCCCCTGCGAACTCAGTCTCCGCATAGCTGCCCCCCAGGAGGGGTAACTGCAGGCGAGAGCATATGCTTTCTTGTCCAACAGTTAGCATAACAGTGGCCTTTTTCTGTCATGTGGTATCACTACATGTCATGTCAGGCAAAATGTCTTTCCTCTTCTAGAAATCAAGCAAATCTATGGGTGGGTGGGTGGGTGTGAGTGTGTGTGTGTGTGTGTGTGTGTGTGTGTGTTTCATTGTCTAAAAGCAAGTTCCCAACATCACTTTTTGGAATGACAACAAATTAAAATGAATAATAAGGCAACTTTACTCATGGGAAACATGTGCTGAGATTGCTTGGGGGTACTGTGTGAGACAGTAGAAAGAACCCATAACTAGGCTTCAATGCTTTGAGTTTGGGTTCTAGAGCCACACATTTTGACTGTGGGATGTTTAGCTGATGGCTTAATTTCTCCAATTAAGTGCTTTTGTAAGTACTTCTTAACTTACAAAACAAAATTTAACATTGTTTTGCCAACCTTATGGCCTGCTAAGGGAATGAATGAGCAAATGTGTATGAAATAGCTCATCACTAAGAAAGCAGTCTACACATGGCCAGGTGTCCTTTTAGGTGTGGGAGTAGAAAAGTAACTCTGGGACCATCTGTTTCCTTCTGCTTTCTCCCCCGGGACTGAGAAAGCCTTTCCAAACAGAAGCCTAATGTCTTGCTTCCATCACTCTAGTGAAGCATTCTTTTCTCTGATCCCAAGAGGGTTTGTTCCCAAATGCTTCCTGGCTTGGATGGAGATGTAGTGTGGGAGCGGGGGAGGGCACTGAAGAGCCTCTGCCTTCCCTTTGGAAAAGTCATACTTTCAATCCTTTAACTCTGGCTGTTTCAGAGGCAGCAGAATGAAAGAGGGCATGTCCAATAACAGCACCACTAGCATCTCCCAAGCGAGGAAGGCTGTCGAGCAGCTGAAGATGGAAGCCTGTATGGACCGGGTGAAGGTAAGTACGCACAGCCGGTCATACCCACCCACCAAAACCCAGCTCAAAACATTCCTCCCATTTCCAAAGCAGTGTTGTGAGAGTTAATACATCACCCAGTTGTGCATTCAGCCAATCCTGGCAGCCCTACCTGTCTTTCTTCCAAAAGATCAATATTTTATTATTCACTTAAAAAAAATATATATATATATATAGTTTTCAAGATATCCCCTGCTTACAAGAGGCAATTAAAAATAAGGACTTAGAATGGTTGAAAGTAATGGGGAAAACATACGAAAAGTCATGGAAGATTTTAAGAAGGTAGAATAAGACACATGCAATGAACTCAAATAAAAATAAAACTCAGTATCGATAATAATACCAGAAAAGAATATGGAATTTTAGAATAAAAGTATCGCTGAGATTAAGAGGATTATATCATTGTCATAAAAAGTCCAGTTCACCACATGCCATCACAATTCTTAACATGTACGGGTCTATTAAAATGGCCTTAAAACTTGGAAAGCCAAAATTCATCAAGCTCAATTGTCAACTATGTTCTTTTCTCCATACTGGTGGGTTATACAGGTTAAGAAGGAGAAAAACTACAAAATATTTGTAAAATCTGAGTATGATTTTGTGAACACTTTTTACCCCACAATTAGGGGACATACATACATTATTTATCAGGCACAAACACATTTATAAAAATTGGCCATGTAATAATACAGCATAGAGAATGTAAAGTGGCCTCACATGTTTTGACGTACTTCCCGTCAAGATGTGAGTTCTACATTCCATCTCCTTGCCCTGGGAGTGGATGTAACAGGGCAGCTGTAACATTTACAAACGAGTGTTTGCTTCAGAGTTCCAAGTGTGCCCAAGGAGTCAAATGATGCAAAGCACACAGTGTGTGTGAATTCCATAAGGAGTTGCTAAAAATAGACTCATCTGCATCTTGGCTCTGTTTAGCTCAGTTATGCCAATAAGCAAAAAAGAGATCAATCATAGTTTCCCTTCTTGACCCAGTGACTTTGAGGTTAGACATCAGATATTTTGACAGGGGCACCGTTGGGAGCAAAGCATTGAACCAAGCACCATGTTTGTCAAATGTTCCTTTGGGGAAAGTGAAGAAAGGTGCCAGCCACCTCCCACGGTGTTCATTTTACTGATAAGCTTAGATTTCTTCATGCTGGGAGAGCTGAAGCAAGATGAAGCCACCTATTATTCTCCAGATGCCACTGAGAAGCAAGCAGGAGGTGAGGCAAAGCATGTGGCTCTAAAATGTGGTTTAGGTTCATTGAGTGAACTGAGCTGGAGCCCTTCAGCAACCTGGCACTAGACACTCAAGTCCAATGTGTCTGTGGTTTTGGGAATGCAAAACCAGGGGTCTTGCCCAGGCATCTTGGATTTGAAGCAGACACCATCTATGTGGGCAATGGGTGACTCTAATCGCCTTCTGTTGGCAGAGAGAGCGATCCCTCTGCAAGGCTCCATCACGGAGATTTCCCTTCATGCTGGATTTATGGCCACAGAGCTCCTGCCTCTATAGAGATAGTTATTCCCTCTATCTGGGACTTCAGGGGGTGAACTATACAAGGAGGCAATAAACATGCCCAGAAAGTGACATGAGTATATGAAGCAAGGAAGGAATCCAGCCTGATGCAGATGCAGACACTTGAGCATCTGTATCTTGTACATAGCAAATCCATAAGTTAGATATCATCTCTCGATCCCTAGAGTAGAAGAGAGCAAGGAACCAAACAACTTTAATACAGAGTGAGCCCCAACAGCATAGAAGTGGATTTAGGAGTAAGTGCTGCAGACATTCAGCAAACATCTGCTGAGAGAATGGAAACTGTGCTGATGAAATTTGCTCTTTTGATAAACATCCCTGAGACCCACTCTGCACTAGGCGTGGCCCTGGGATGGAAGCACTAATGGAATCCTCCCTGCCATACTACTTGGAAAAAAGATTTCTTGGAGTTATAAGCTGGGAGCTGGTTCTCAGGCAATATCCGGGGAGATGAGAAGTCTTGCATCAGCTAATCATGGCTCATGTTGAGCAGCTGGACGCCAGAAGAGCGGCTGGGAAGACAGCTTTGGGCAGCATGGCAGATGCTGTGTCGATCATAAAAACAACTGGGATGAAACATAGGCCATGAAGTAAACTAACTTGTCATCTATAAAGCTGTCAGAGGCCAGGAGGCAGGAGGCAGGTGAAGCCACAGAAGCCACTGGGAGGGGCAAAAAGGGGGAAGAAAACAGGTGTGATGTGGAGCCGCAAAGGTAGGATTGCAGAGTCAAAGACATCAAGAAATAGAGCAAAACTTAAGAGGGTGGATGTGGGAGACACTTAGGAGAAAGAAGTCAGAATCCACTTGTCAAGCTGCACAGCGTGAGGCCTGGAAAGACAGTGGGTGTCCATTTTGTCAAGAGCCAGAGTATTTTGCTTTGACAAGGAAGACAAATTCTTTTTTTTAATGAGTTTGTATATTTATCTCCCCACTTTTATTGAGAAACAATATATAATGTTGCATCCATTTAAGGTATACATGATTTGATATACGTACCTATGGAAAATGATTACCTTAAAAACATTTTGGTTAACTTCCATTTATCTCTTATTTACAAATATTTTCTTGTGATGAAACTTTTTAGATCTACTCTTTCAGCAACTTTTCCAATATGTAATACAGTGTTGTTAGCTACAGTCACCATGTTGCACATTATATCCCCAGAACTTACTAATTTTTGTATTGTCATTTTGTATGATAAAGTACTAATTATTATTACCAACTCTTTTAGTGAAATCTTTAAATAAATTTTATTTTTATATTCCCCATACAATTGCAATCCCCTTATTTTGACCCTAATCCCTCCCCTCCCTGCACCCCCCCCCCCATGGAGTGTCTCTGGTTCATAGTTTTTGTTGATTTTGATTTTCATTTTCTTATAGTTATTCATTTTCCTGGTCCCTTATTTAAGTTTTCTAGATTTCTGCTATGAATGAGACCATCCGGTATTTTTCTTTTTCTTTCTGGCTTATTTCGCTGAGCATGATCCCTTCCAGCGCCATCCATGTTGCTGCAAATTGCATGTGTTTATCTTTTTTGAATGCTGAGTAATATTCCATGGTGTATATGTACCACATCTTCTTGATCCAGTCATCTCTTTTTGGGCATTTGGGCTGTTTCCAAAGCTTAGCTATTGTAAACAGTGCTGCTATAAACATAGGGGTGCAGGTGCTCTCTGGAATTGATGTTTCTGTGTCCTTTGGGTAAATACCTAGGAGTGGAATTGCTGGATCATATGGAAGCTCTATGTTTAGTAGGTCCAGAAATCTGCACACAGCTCTCCATAGTGGTTGGACCAGTTTGCACTCCCACCAACAGTGCAGGAGAGTTCCTTTTTCTCCACACCCTCGCCAACATTTGTTGTGGCTAGTTTTTTTAATATGTGCCATTCTCACTGGTGTAAGATGGTATCTCATGGTAGTTTTGATTTGCATTTCCCTGATTACAAGTGATGTTGAACATTTTTTCATATGCCTGTTGGCCATTTGCATTTCCTCTTTGGAGAAGTTTCTTTTTAGCTCTTCTGACCATTTTTGGACTGGATTATTTTCTTTGTGTTGAGTCTCATCAGCTCTTTGTAGATTTTTGTGATCAGTCCTTTATCATTAGTGTTGTGTGCGAAAATGTTCTCCCAGTCGGTGGGGTTTCTCTTTGTTGTTGTTATTGTCTCTTTTGCTGTGCAGAAGCTCTTTAATTTGATGTAGTCCCAGCTGTTTATCTTTGCCTTCCTTTTAGTGAAATTTTTATACACATAATCAAGTGGATTCCCTATCTGATAAGCTCCAAAAACAATCGATTTTTTTTCACATGCAAACATTCCATCTTGAATTTTATTTTATTTTTATTTTTTCCCTTTATTGAGGTAACACTGGGTTATAACACCGTATATAATTTAGGGGTTCTAGTGCCAGCAAGGCACAGGGCAGGTTCTCTATCAATTTGGGCAGATGTGTAAAGGAGAATAGAGCCTTCAGTGGCTTTTTTCAGGCTTTAATGCTCTTTCTACACCAACTGTTGACAAGCCCATGGGCTGGCAAGAGGGGAGGCAGGAGGCTGGCAGGCCTTCCAGGCCCTGGTGACTCTTTACCCTCTCTTTGGGCTCCTCTGGCATTGTGTTATGGGCTCTTCTCATGGCCATTGTCTGCCACAGCTGTCCTGCCCCCATAGTTGTGTGTGTGTGTCACCGCCCTTATAGCCTCAGCCTCCAGGCTCAGGTATGCCCACTTACACATGCCCACACCACACTCCATCAGGCATGCATGTGCCCCGCACCCACGCTCCCAAGCGCCTCCTGCATTCAAGGCTGCAGGTGATAGCCACAGAGGCCGGCAGCATAAAAGCTAGAGCAATCTACATTTACCCTACAGGGGTGAAGAGTCATACCACACCAGATATATGTTACCACTATGCACCCACCATCCAAGCACCTATAGCCCTTTACCATAGACCATTGTGCCCCCTCCCACCTGTGTTCTTCTTTTTCTTGTTCCCTAAGGTACAAGGTTAGATTATTTACTTAGGTTCTTTCTTGTTTCTTGATGTGGGCCTGCATTGACATATACTTCCCTCTTAGTACTGCTTTTCCTGCATCCTGTAAGTTCAGGTAAGTCTGTCTTCATTTTCTTTTTCTTTTTTTTTTTAATTTTATATATTTTTACATCATTTTTCATTTTTGCACAATGTATGCATTTTCATCTTGGTTATATTCCCCATACAATTCCCACCCCCCTTGTTTTGATCCTACTCCCTTCTCCCCCCACCCCACCCCCCTTTAGTGTGTCTCTGGTTTATAGTTCTCTTGTTGATTTTGATTTTTACTTTATTATAATTAGCCTTTTTCCTGGTCCCTTATTTAGGTTTTCTAAATTCCTGCTATGAGTGAGGCCATCTGGTATTTTTCTTTTTCTTTCTGGCTTATTTAGCTGAGCATGATCCCTTCCAGCT